GATGGCAAACATCGTCCTGTGTTTCACAGTAATAGCATTCTTTTCATAGCAATTGCAACAACTACATTATTTTCAAATTCGACTTTACGTTCATAAATGAATTTGTTACAATTTAGTAACCAATTGTAATATTTTTTTGAAGCCATAACTCGGAATTATTCTGTTTTTCCTAGAAAACACAATAGAAATATAGAAAATAATTGAATAATTCTGATGAAAATTCATTCCAAACAGTTTCATAATATGCACCTTAATTGATAAGCACGTTTGAGGTCGCTTGAAGGTTAGAACTGTCTTTTAAACACAGATTTGCTGCTTCTTGCTATTTTTCATGTGCCATAGTTGCTGCTATAACAATTCTACGACAAAAGTAATCACGTGACCCTTTTTGTCGCTGAAACGGCCGGTTCGAGCGACACGTGAAAATGCACCTTCACGCGTGTCGCATGAAATTCGTGCAGCAGTGAACAGCGCCCCCTCGACGAGTGCCGCGGCTCGAGAAGCAACATGAATTTACGTGAATTGGCGTGCGGCGACTTGACCTCGATTACCTCAATCGATGATTGATTCAAATCGTGCAAATACCGGGGGCTCGAGCATAAATCTTTTCCTTAGCGTGAACTCGTGAGAAGTGTGAGAAATTTGATTGACGAATTCAATATTTGTCAATGAAATTTTTCACTATTCGCGAGTTCGCGCTAAAGGAAAGAATTCACGATCGAACCCCTGTACAGTGATGGACAGAATAGTAGCAACACTTTTTTAAAAATAAATTTAGGAATACGCCCACACAGTACAGAAAGATTGCAGAAAGATTGCAGAAATATTACCTTGCAAGATTGCAACGTTTCTGCAATGCAACTACCAATTATCTAGATGATATCTAGATACAATGTATGATAAAATTTCAAAACATTCTTATAAAAGTACAAGCAACATGACAAGACTATTTTTCTTGTTCGTCGTCGTCAGAACTTTCATTTGAGAAATCCGTTCTTAAATGTGTAACACAAACACGTTTTCTAAAACAAATAATTATTAATTATTTACCTTACACTTATAACATTAATTTAAAAACTTGCAAGTTGTTAACGAAAAACAAATTTCATTTCCTCTACTTACTTCTGCTCATTTTTTAATCGAGTTGATGAATTGTCAAGCCAAGCAGCTATAGCCATTTTTATTTGGTCCTCCGTAGCTGACGGCATGTGCATTTGTGCAGCTTCTGTAATGATAATATATATTTATATGAGTCTGTAAAAGTGAAAGATAGATGTGTTTTTCCCCAGTAGTGTTTTTATTTACTATGTTTATTTACTATATTAATTTAACATAACTAAATATCGATTTGAATTATGCCTATTGCTCAGACTAGTTGACTAACACTTGGTATGCAAATGGTAAGGAATTTTACACTATATATATTTCTGTTAACTTAACAATTTTTTCAGGTTGAATTTTTAAAGCAAAAAGGAGGTCCTGATGTGCGGTCTCATGTGTTTAATATTTTAAACACTACAATAAGTAATTCTGTTGCAACACAATATAGTTATAAGGGTCAAAAGAAAAAAAAAAGATTTGTAAATCTAATGTTCAACACCTGTATACTTTGAAATATTAAATAAAACGAAAACAATGTTGTAAAAAATTTCAATTTATAATCTAAAAAAGATTTATATATTAACAATTACTCACTATATATACAGGTGTTGAACATTAGATTTACAAATCTTTTTTTTCTCTTTTGACCCTTATAACTATATTGTGTTGCAACAGAATTACTTATTGTAGTGTTTAAAATATTAAACACATGAGACCGCACATCAGGACCTCCTTTTTGCTTTAAAAATTCAACCTGAAAAAATTGTTAAGTTAACAGAAATATATATAGTGTAAAATTCCTTACCATTTGCATACCAAGTGTTAGTCAACTAGTCTGAGCAATAGGCATAATTCAAATCGAACTTCACTCGGTGAGTTCGTTCGATTTATCAATTATACTTACAACTTCATCAAAAAACTTCTTTTTTTTAAACAAGCGTCAAACTGCTCTAGATCGTTCGTAGTTTTTATAATGAACGTTTCATATAATTTATCTTTTGTTCGGTTACTCAACTGGCAATGACTTGTTTCTGTAAGAGAAACTTTTTTCTCGAGATTCGTAATTTTAGTCATTATAATTTCGTTCTGTTTTACGATTTTATTTTGCTTTGTCAGAATAAGCCTCAATACAGCTGAAAAAGATAAATATGACATAAAGTGTTTCGTAAATATTTTGCGTTTTACGTGTAAGCGTATAAGTGCATAAGTACAATGTGTTTAATATTATTTTAGTTCTATTTTTATTTGTAAAAATAACAAAATATCTAAAAAATAATTGATTACTATTGAACTTCTATTTACGTTTAACGTGATAAATTAAAATTTCATTTTAAGTCGAATAAATTTAGAATGATGCTTTCTGTATCGTAAAATAATGAATATAATATATAAAATACCTACTTGACAAGTTATCTGCACTAAACGATCCTTTTTGTTGAGTATCAGTTTGTGAATTGTCGTTCCTATTTTTAGCACCATTATCCGTATTTTAGCACCACAATCCAAAGTGACAGTATTGCCCATGTCCCATATTTTCTATGCGCGTGGTTTTTGGTGTTCCCAAAAGTGTGCGAGGATCTTTAGGAAAATCTATTTTTACATGTTCATTTAAAATAGCTAACAATGATTTTAAGCTGTTGTGAGGTACTTTAAATTTCTTAGCCCAGTTTTTTATTTTTAATTTAAATTGTTTGCCAAGCAATTTTTCTGGATTTTCCATATCCTCGTCATATATATTAACATCACAGCTGCTGTATGCATCTATTTCAGAATTTAATTCGCTATCGCTGTATTGATACTCTGTATCGAAATCCATTGCAATATGTTCATTAAAATGTTCGTTGTGTACTTCCTGGGCATTTGAGAATTCTGTTTGACTGTCATTGTCTTTTGTTAAAAGAACATTATTTACTGTTTCTGTATAGATTTCCTCTTCGGGTCTAATTATAGCCGAGCTTTCGTGTGATTGAAACACAATAGAAGATATTTCTTCTAGTTCTCGAATCGTTTGTTTTTTTGCGCAACGAAATAACTCAGATTTACTAATATTTTCCTCAGGTCTTCTACGTCGCGGCATTGTAATCTTAATCAGCTTATTATGAAGAGTAAAAGTGTTTCCATAAGAATTCAAAGTACCTGCATATATAAAAATAACCACTGGTTTTTAAATAGTGTAACTACAATTATGCATGTTAGCAAATCAAGGAAATATACAGGGTATACTAAAATCACCGGATATCCTTTTAATCGCAGATTCCTTAAAAAATTTCAAGAGGAAAATTCTAATAAAAAATGTGGCTATGATAGTTTTTAAATAATAAGCGATTATATTTCACAAATGACAGGTCTGAGATTTCGCGCGCTCAGGCACGGCGATATGACGAGTGATAAAAGTGTTCCTATGTGTTTCGCGAGCGAGCGAGAACCAAAGTCACCGTTTAACGGGACAGAAAATATTTGGGAAGACGATGATCCGGTTATTTTGAAAACTTGAGGATAAAGAGAGGCAGGAGACTAGATTGAATCTAACCGAAAATTCGAAGTTCATTCAGAATATCGGAGATCAACTAAATCAAAGGATATCAGTCTGATCAAGATGCTCATCATAGTGAACCCCTCCCTTTTATTAATAAGACGTTACACAAAGTTAACAAAAGAAATGGTTAAAGATAACAAGAGGAACAATTAATTCGAGAATGAATCGTTAAGTCTGTTGTGAAAGTTGTCACTATGCTAAAAAGGGTGATATTCGTAGGAACACCTTTATCACTTGTCGTGTCGCCGTACCTGAGCGCGCGAAATCTCAGGCCTGTCATTTGTGAAATGTAATTGCTTATTATTTAAAAACTATTATAGCCTCGACATTTTTGTATTACAATTTTTGTCTTGAAAGTTTCTAAAGAATTTATGATTAAAAGGATATCCGGTGGTTTTAGTACACCCTGTATAAATATAAAAATGTCAATCTTTATTTCTCTTCTTTATAATTAACACAATCCTTACTTTTAATTTTTTATAATATAATCTTTATTTAGAAAATCTTTATAATAAACAGACATGCGGCTTAAGGGGGCGACACCTAAATGACGGATCGAAAAATTGACTTGTCTTTAGTTTGTAGCTGTGTTGCTAATAATTTACTATAAAATTTCAATATGGTAGGAAATAAAAATACATATTTTAAACAGTAGATTAAGACAAAGAAAGTTAAGAAATATTAATTTTTGACTGAGATATAATATAATAAAAAACGTCGCACTCCTCTTTCTGCTAAAATTATGTCGCTATCGTTCGATCGTGGCTTTTTCGATATCTTAAACCATTCTTTTTTATGGTTAAAGAAAGAACAAAATTTTTACTGAAAACGCGTAAACTTAATTTTAGATGGCCGCCAATTTGTTGAAACTTATTATTTTTAAAAAAGCTCCGATCGAACGATAGCGACATCATTTAAGATTAAAATGACACCAAGATTATTTGTTTCAGATGTCTACAAATTAAGAAATCGTGTCAACCACGAAGAGTTTTTTCAAAGAAATGTTTTTTATTATATTATATCTCAGCCAAAAATTAATACATCTTACTTTCTTTGTCTTAATTTACTGCTTAAAATGTGTACTTTTATTTCCTACCATATTGAAATGTTATAGTAAGTTATTTACAGCATAGCTACACACACAAACTAAAAACAACTTTTCGATTCGTCAATTAGATAACCGAAAAAAACGAAATATACTCAGTGAGAAATGATTCGTCGATCGACGTCGAAACGACGTCGAATTGACGTCGATTCGACATCATTTCGACGTCGATCGACGAATCATTTCTCACTTGGTACATCACAAATTGTGATACACTATATACATATATTCACAATACATGTAGTATTTTTAACATACAATAAAATTACTTAATTATTTTATTACATTTCCAATAAAATATTACTTTCCATCGTTTCCAATGCACAATTAGCACTAGTTTTATTTTCATTTCTTTGAATGTATTCGTACAGTGTAAAGTATTAAATGATATGAAAATTACAGTCTTTAGGTTTAACTTTAAATATATGAAAACTGCATTGCAAAAATTTTTTATTACATGGAGATTAATGTATACCTGACAGCACAGTACGTGGCAAAGACGTCACTACGTCGTATCGACGTGCTTGCAACGTCCTTGCCATATCTGTGCAGACAGGATAATTATTATGAATAATATATTACAAATATACATTTTAAATATGTGAAATTCTTGTTTCATTGATATATCAAATACCGATATTGAAGACGACAGAAACGAACGGGATGCTGCAGATTCTGATGATTGTGACGTTTCAAATATTTCTGGTAACGAAGATATTCGCCTGAGAAAAGTACAACACGTAAAAAGACGCTTATTTACACAGAATAAATTGGTATCCGATTCTGATAATGGTAAGTAAACACTGTATATTTGCAATTAATACTAATTAAAAACTATTACTTTTGTACGTTTTCCCATATTGCGCTATCAACTATTTAAAAATAGTCTTTTACACATAGTCGTGACCTAAGATAAACCGAAATATAAAAAGACGAAATCCTACATTAATATACAATCGTATTGCATATTAGTTTCTGTTTCTTGTAACGATGCAATATAATTTGAAAATACTATAAGAAGTAATAATAATGCCACTATAACAAGTTGCAGCCAATCTACATTTTGTCATGTTCATATTACTTATTTTGTATTATACAATTATGTATAATACGAGTATTTGTAGCCAATGTTAATAAGTGTACAAACATAATTATTTGAAATATAATGCAAAGTATTGTAAAGATTACAGCTTATACCTTAGTATACATGTAAAAAAATAGTCTTTGTGGTCGCTACACTGTTATTCTATCTGTTAGTTAATGTTCTGTACCCATTCGTCTTCAGTTAGTGAAACTTTGGCAGCATATTTGTTACTAGGGACCAAGCATGCGTAGGAAGTTTTATTAGTCTCATTCGTAAGACAAATGAAATGATAAAAGGGTGTATTATTGTCTCATTGAATTACAAGTATTATCTATATAAGTAATATATTTCTAATAACATAATACACTTTTAGGAACATTGAATTATAAAAATGACGCTATTTTAAGAGAACCTAAACGTATACAAAAGAGAAAATTTGTTGATTATAACGAACAACGTAAGTGTTACGTTATTCCTATTGCATACCCGGGAAAAAAATTCTATATACCATATAATCGTGTATGATTATATATAAGTAGCCATATAAAGACAAATTTAAAATATAATATTATTAAATATATGATGATATATGGAAAATTTTTTCCCGGGTACAAATATTGTTTTTATGGATATTGTGAACAAATTGTTACATGTTATTACACAAGTGTTTCGATATGAAAAGAGTATTCTAATTATATTAACAGACGATGAGTATTCATTACATGTTTTCAAGACCATAAATATTTTCGAAAATAAGAATATGATAATACAATTATAAAGAGAATAATGTGTATTTTCTGAAAATAAAAAATTGCAAATTAATTACACTCTAACATAACATGCAATACAGGAAACAATAAAACTATTATCTCTGATGAATATTCTAATAATCAGCGGTTATGCAAAAAGAGAATACAATATTGAAGAACTAAAAACATAAAATAAAATGCACAAGGAGAGATTTATAATCAACGTCCTCCCATTATATTTTTAGCAAGTACAAGTAATGAAAGCGTGAGAAGACGTTTATTGGAAACGGAAAATAATCGGTATAGGGAGCAAAATACAATAGATGACAGCGATTCAAATGAAGACGAAATTGGTAATATTTTATACTTATAAGTATAATACTGCTATGTAATAACATATATACTTTTGACACCCCTCCCCCCTGTTACACATTCTTAGTAAATCCGTTAGGATACATTAACGTCACAAAAGAAATATTCTTCACTCGATTGTAAGATGTAATTGTAGTTTACTTTAAAACGTTTTTGCATATATGCATTCGTAACACGTTTTAAAGTCAAATAAATAACAATGTTAAGAATGCTGTTTATTTTTCAGTTGCAGTACAGTTAAATAATAAGCAAGTGAAAAGAAAACGGTTAAAGGATGCTTTGAACTTTGAAGATTCTTATGATATTCATAAGCGTTATGATAAAATATCAAATACAAGAGTAAGACATTTGTTTATTTATTTTCCTTATATGTAAAACTATTACATTGGCCTTCTCTACTGTGTGTACTACTTTTATTAATTATAGTAGCCTTGTTATTTTCAAAATATATATTTTTAACAGATATACTTAGGAGAAAACATATCGGTTGGTCAACTGTCTTGGGAAATGACAAAACTGCGTAAAAA